CCTAAAAGTTTTTTGATATTATTGTAATTTTGTGTCCCAACTGGCGTGCATTTTGTTTTTATAATTTCTTGTGAATTTAAGAGATTTTCTGTCAAAATTAAGGATCACAAAATAATTATCAATAGACTATATTGGGATATGGAAAAATAAAATTAATGTCATGATAGCTACTATAAATAGTAAAGAAATGTATAGGAACCTAACACATCACATAGCTATGTACCCATAACCAGAGTTTAGATTTGTTAAAATATTATTATATAAATATATATGCATATGTATTATATGCATATATATAATATGCATATATAAACATAAATCTATATATAATACACATGGTTTATTTATTTTATTTGCCATATGGATCCAGATCAGATGGTTACAGCATGGTGTATTTCCATGTTTCCTATTGAAATTTGTAGTTATTTCCTTTTCCTCTTATAAACAATGCTTCATTAGATATCCTTGTACTTAGATCTAAGAGGTTTTGTAAAGTATATGTACAGAAGGACATACTGCCAAATAAATCAAAGGTGATACAATTAATTTTTATGTGTACTTACAAATTTTCCTCAATTTATATTTTCAAAATAATGTGTGTGCCCATTTCAACATAATACAGTGATGTTACATCCAATTATCTTTAATTTTTTTATTTTGATTTATTTGAAATCTATTCATTTCACTTTAATAACTAATGAGATCGAACATCTTTAGATGTTTGTCTTCGAATTTACTGTGTATATTTTTAATCCCTTTTTTCTATTGAGTTTGCCTTTTGTGGTCCATATTACTTTTTTTCCCTAAAATTCTGTAACAAATTCTATCTTCTGCATGTTGCAACAAAACTTGAAATTTCAACCTTGAATTCTGCTTATTTTAAGTATCTCAGCTCCGTTGTAGCCTGTCTCTGGCCTGTTAGTAACCACAGCTGCACATCACTGCCTGAGCTCCGGCTCATACCTCCCCACCCTTCGGAAAAATTGTCTTCACCAGGAGGTGAGCAGCAGGCCAGCAAAGCTTCATCTGTATTTACAGCTGCTCCCCACCGCTGGCATCACCGCCTGAGGTCCATGTCCCTTGCACCTTTTGTGGAAAAATTGTCTTCCATGAAACTGGTCCCCAGTTTCCAAAAAGGTTGGGGACCACTGGTTTAAGGCACTATAACTCTTTTCTTCCCAAAATGTTTTTCTGGACAGAGTGGTACAAAAATGTGAATCCCCCTCAAGAAACTAGCATCTCTTATCTTATGACTAGTGTATTGATCCAGTGTGTAGAACAATGCCTGCCAGATACAGCAACCTTAATGATGTGTTGAATGAAATGATCATGTTTTTGCTACTAAATTGCAATCCTTTTCTGATGCTCCCTGTTAAAGATTATTCTCAGGTAGTGTTTAAATTTCCCACATTTTAGAGTGTCATCTTCCTTGGATTTTTGCTAGTTTTAGCGTTTATGTCTTTGGTAGCCACTCATTGGAGCGTTCATGCCTTACCTAGGCTGCACCTCAGAAATACCAATGTTGGATAAATTTGATAAACCAAGGGAAAGACACAGAAATGTTAAGGCTAATTATATGGTCACTTGGCCCCTTGTCCTAGCTCAGTAAGAATTTGCTAATTTGATTTAATCCGTAAACCAGAACACAAGGACTAAATTAGAACTTAAAATCTTTTTCAAACTTTGTTTTTTCCTCCCTTGTTTTTGAGGCCATCTCCATAGGAACAGTGAATGGGATTAGGAGAGAGATTTGGTTTTATCAAAATCCCATTTTTATAATAGTTGATAATTTTTAACAAAGTTCTATGAGAAAGCATTAAGGACACTTAAATTGCAATTTCAAACCTAGGTTTTTACTTGAGTCATAATAAATCACAAGGCATTAGAAACTCTTACACTTTAAACATTTCAATATCAACTTTACCTATTGGTTCAATTTCCATTTAATAGAGTCACTTATTTAGCCCTTACAGACCTCACCATTAAGTTAGAGTGAATGTAAGAGTGCATCTTACTTCAGAACTTTGGTATTGCTTGATTTTAGTTATGTCAGTTGTTTAAATGAGAGACTATCTGAAAATGCTTTTAAAATATGAAGTACTACATAAATAAATGTTGACATTTTGCCCTTTTATTTTTGTCATTTTTTTCAGTACTTGGGTTTCACATATTTATATTCTTTCAGTATTATACAATGATTTTGCTCAGATTTGTAATCTCAATATTTGGTTTATATAGTTATTAAGATTTATTAAATTATTAATGATACTTTGTTAAGAATTAATAAACGAATGAGGTGTTTGTGCCTTATTATGCCATTTCTATTTTTAGAAATAAAACAGAATTATGTCATTGTCAAGGCTGACTACTTCTGTAGTTTCACGACTAGCAAAGAAACCTGACCACATTTCCCTCCTTCGGGTAGCTCTCTTCCCCGGCAGCTTCTCTTCTTGCCTGGTTATAGCTGTTTTTGGAAGGCTTTCTCTCTTCCTCCCCACCTCCCCAGTCACGGTCACCATAGAACATTGTAACACAATGGTCTTGGTCACACTTTAAGAATGGGCTTTTGGTATAAATTCAAGATTCGGTTGTTTTTAAGATCAGTATTCTTTATCCATGATATCTTGTCTCATTTATCTTTGTCAAATGGTGTGTTTCTCCCCTGTTAATCTAAGAGTATTCAATTATATGATTGGATCAAGTTACTACAAGGTTTTAGGCATGGTTTTGTGTTTTATTTATTTTCCTAGAATCAAACTTTACAGTTTTTGCTGGATAGAATTCCAGAAGAACAATGGAATGGCTTGAAAAAGTTAATCTTAGATGACAATGAGGCTTTAAACTATCTTGTTTTGCCAGTTAACAGTTAAAGATTGGTGAGGCTGAACACGATACTACTCTCCTTACCATTAAAAATTCCATACATCATTACATGAATTAATCTTGAGCAAAAGTCTGGCACAGATGTTTTAAGAAACAGTGAGGCAGTTAATGTTGTGAATTTAGCATTAGTGTGATCTGATATTAATGAACAGTTCTACCTCTTACATTTTCCATAATTTCTGTCTGGTTGCTGTTTCCACCTGGCTTCTTTTCATTTTCCTGATTCTGAATTTTTTACTTTTAATCACCTATCTTTTTATACTCAGAATTACACATTTTTAAACTAAAATAAATTTCTAAATACTTTTGAAATATATAAATGGGCATATCACCAAAAAGTGTGTGGAAGGGAAGCCTTCAGTGAATTACTTTTTGTTCTGTTAGAGGAAAAAACTTCAAAGACTTAAAGGTAAGATTACATCAATGGGTTTAAAAATTTGGGAATAATGTAATCTGTAATAAGGACCAGGTCACCAGTGAGGCCGTTACTGTGGATATGTCACTGTTGAAATTTGGGACTAGTGATGGCAGAAGAGATGGAGAGAAATGGACAGATTGGGGATATATTTTGAAGTGGAAATTTAGAAAACTTGGTATTGGATGAAATGTGGGGGGAAGGAAAGAGATTCTGAAGAAGAAACTGGTTACATAGTATTACCAATTTCTGAGGATGAGTGACTGAAGCCGGTGCTGTTTTACTTAGTTTGGGGGAGGTATGAGTCTACAGTTCTGTTGGGGGCATTTTGAGTTTGAGATACCAAAATGAATATACCCAATAGGCAATTAAATGACGATGGAAGTGAAGGATTAAATGACTCTGGAGATGAAGGGAAGTGAAAGAAGGTGAAGGTAGAGTTATTAGCATAGAGTAATGTTGAAAACCATGAATCTTGCTAAGATCATTAGGTTGAGCGTGGAGATTGGAGGAAAGGATCCCTGAGCCACAGTGCTGTGGCTTCCAGCAGTTAAAGTTGGGGTGGATGAAGAGTTTGAGGAAGAGTGCTGTGTGGCAGTTTTATGCAATACATACAGACCATTTTAATAGAAGTTGTGCATGCTTAAGATATATCGAGCTTTGGGGATTGTTTTTTAAGCTAAATGTTTGTCATATGTTTTGTAAGATTCTAAGCAGCATTCTGCGTGTCACTGAGTAAGACAGTTTTTTAGTGTGCCAGAATGTTTGCACTAAGAGATTGCATCACCAGTGAACCATGAATGCTGGAGTATGGTGCCCATCCTTTCTGTCCCGCCACTGCCTCTTCAGGATTTAGATTGTTAAATGTCACTAAGTTCTTGCTCAGCTTGAAGGAGTTTGCCAGAAAATTCTCATTAACACGGATGCCCTTTGGCCTTCCTCTCATAATTTTTTGTCTTTGTCTTGAAATGTTAGTTCATTGCTAAAGTCATTTTATTTTTAAAAGTTGTCATCAACATGAAAAATCTGGGATTCATGAGGTGTGTTATTAAATGTTGGATGTTACTGATGTCAGTGACAGCTTGGGGCCGCAGGTGAAAGCCTGGTTTATAAATTCTGCAAGGACAGAATGCTTCAAGACAACGAAATGGGGACTGGCTTAGACCATAGCTAAATGCTTTTACTACTTTAATGCTGAGCAAAGAGTACTGTCATATCACATATATATATATATATATATTTTTTTTTTTGCCATGACTGCATTTTGCTTTTCTTCAAAATCTAAACTATAAAATTAAAGAAGACAGTTATCAGGTGCCTACAATATCTTATGCAGAGTGCAAAGTTTTTACACTGTGGTCCTATTTTGACCTGACACCAGTTCCAAGAGGGAAATACATCAAACCCAGTTTGTAGGGGTCAAGAAATTAAATGTCTGGTTATCAGTAATTTAGAGAGGAAAAGTAAGATACTCATTGGAAGTTACCTAAAAAGTCAGATTACACATTCAATTGTTTTGAAGTTAAACTTTCTCTAAGCATGTTTAAAAGGAGATGGAAACAAAGTCATGTTTTTCAAGCACCATGCTGTGTTTTTACTTATCCATTTAAAAAATGCATTTCATCTCTAAATGTTAAGTGAAATGTTCCCATGCTATGTTGATAATGATCTTAATTTCTCCCCCCTTCTCTTTTGGTTTCAGAGGAAGAACTTGTCTCTTTTTCTCAGCATTAGTTTGTTAACTTTCTGGGGGACCTCCCTTTTGGGTGCCCGGTTATACTGGATGGGAAACAAACCACCAAGCTTTTCCAACTCTGACAACCCAGCTGCTGATTCAGATAGCCTCCTTGCCCGCACCCTCACCTTCTTCTACTTGCCAACCAAGAACCTCTGGCTGTTGCTATGCCCAGATACACTCAGTTTTGATTGGTCGATGGATGCCGTGCCTCTGCTCAAAACAATTTGTGATTGGAGAAACCTACACACTGTGGCCTTCTATACTGGACTCCTCCTCCTTGCCTACTACGGTTTGAAGAGCCCAAACATAGAAAGAGAATGCAATGGGAAAGCTGTAACAAATGGCAAGCAGAATGCAAATGGACATAGCTGCCTTTCAGATGTGGAGTACCGGAACTCAGAGATTAAGCCCAGCTTTGCATCCAAAGTAGAAAATGGCATTAAAAATGATGTATCACAGAGAACGCAACTTCCTTCTACTGAGAACATTGTTATTCTGTCTTTATCTTTGTTAGTAATACCCTTTGTTCCTGCCACGAACTTGTTTTTCTATGTTGGCTTTGTAATCGCAGAGCGAGTATTATATATTCCTAGTATGGGCTTCTGCCTCCTGATTACAGTGGGTGCCAGAGCCCTTTATGTCAAAGTCCAAAAGCGGTTTCTCAAGACCTTGATTTTTTATGCTACAGCAACATTAATTGTTTTCTATGGACTCAAGACTGCAATCAGGAATGGAGACTGGCAGAATGAGGAAATGCTGTATAGGTCAGGGATAAAAGTAAATCCAGCTAAAGGTAATATTTTATTTTATGCTTTTGCTTGGGCAGTTTATACTCTCAGCCTTTATATATATATCTCTCTTTGCTTCTTGCCTTAAGATACAGTATTGAGGAAGAGGTCCTTTCATGCAATACCCATATCTTTCATTCTTTTTTTACATTTTTTAAAAAGAAATATGCAGTACAACCAATTTAGAGACATATCCAGCATTCTATAGGGAAATATTTTCCTGTATTTCTAACTATGTTTGTCCAGAAGAACCAGAGCTCCTGTTGTGTAAAAATACTATTATAAAAATTTAGGATAAGGCTTGGTATGTACATTTTAAAATTCTGCTCCAGACATCTCTTTCATCATGTAATAAATAAGAGCCAAGTTATCCTATTTAAGTAAATTTACCTCTTCTGTTTTCTAAGCATCACCTGAGGAAGTATCACAAGACTTACATTGACACCTTTAAAATTTTGGAGATACAACTACCTCTGATTTTTGGAATTATGTCTCTAGATGTCAGTGTGTGCACATGCAGGTGTGAGCACCCTTAGCTTTGCAGAGGATAAATAAAATGATGTTGCCAGGCAGTTAGACCCTCTTATTTAAGAGTTCTTATTTAAGGGAAAAAAACATTTTATAACACAATGAGAACATTGATTATACTTTTCATTATTGCTTTTGATTTAGAAAATTATCTTAGCAAATCACACAATCGATAGCTAGAGTATAGAAAGTAGTTTCCTTTAAAACAGAAGTGAACACTCAAAAGCTATTATGGTGGATTGCTTTGATTTAGGCAATTAAATGTAATGAAACCTAGAGAACAATTGGATAAAAATAAGTGTACATTTTTTAGTGCAGAAATACATAGTGTAAATAATGACCGATACTTCTTTATAAGCCATTTGTAAGTATTATTTAAATTATGGTTGCTTGTGTAGTATTTGAACTAGGGTTTTTCTGCTCTTTTCAACATAATTCTGTACCAGGATTCAAATATTGAAGGTGCAAAACTGTTCCAAATGTATGAAAATGACCTGATACATATATATCTCTCCAAAGATCTAGATAGCCTAGAAGTAACTTTGGCATCTTTATCTGATTAGCACAAATTAAGTTAAGAATTCAAGTCAAGAGTAAGCAACTGTACATTTCTTTCAGCCAAGGAACTAATTGTTGGTACTTATAATGCTTAATAGATCGCAGGGATTTTAATGGGAAGTTGCAGCACTAAAGTTGAGCTACTGCATACCATGTAATTCCTCAATTCTCTATGAAAAATCATTACCATGTGGCTTTTTTAGGTAGTGAGTACTGCACAGTTTTATCGAATGCCTGAATAGGAATCTTGCTCTAAAAATTGTTATAATTAGTTTTTACAGAATGCTTTTCAGCTAGTTTTTCTTCACTAGCAAACATAAGTATGTAGAACAAGGCTATGTTGCCAATTTATTTTCCTGCTGTTTAAAAGAGATATTTGGTAAGGAATTAAAACAAAAATCCCCAGCATATTAGTCTGCATCATAGTGTTCTGAGGATTTATTAAATTTATTGGTTAAGTTTCAAGCTGAACTACTGTTACAAGAAGTTGAGATAATAGTGGCTTAAATAAGATGAAAGCTTTATTCTTTCACATAACAATCTGAGTATGTGCAGACCAGAGCTGATAAGATGGCGCCATGGATTTTCAAGATCCATGTGTCTTCTCTTTTGTTCCCTTGCCATCTCCATGGTGTCACCCCGTCCAGATGGTCCAAGATGGCTCATTATCACATCAGCACTTCAGCTGACAGGAAGAGGGGGAGAAAGGGCAAATGATGGGTGTACCCATTTTCTGTAACAGCATATCACAGAAATTGCACGCACCCGTGTGTGCTCACAGACCGTCAGCCACACCTAGCTACAGGGAAGGCTGGGAAAGGTTATCTTCATTCTGAAAAGACAAGTACTCAGCCAAATTTTATTATAGTGGAAAAAGAGAAGGCATATACTCAGAAAAGAAGGTATAAGTAGGAGACTCTGTCCCATCGGTGAAAGCATTTTGTAAACTCTTCGGCATTCTTCAGCATTAACCACTATTATTGCTGACAGTTATGATTCTGAATAAGATATTTTGATGACATGGTTAAAATATTTTTCTTCATTCATCCATTCACTTAATAAAACAATTCTTAAACACTTCCTTACTTTCCAACATATTTCCATGTCTTCTTACTAACAATACTTGAGAAGTGCTGTGGTATTTAGGCACTCCAAAATATTGCTAGTTAAATGAATGTATGACTGACCAGTATTATGATGAGTCCTTTGAGACATCAAAAAAATGAATTTCTGAAACCTACCGCTCCACCCATGCCCCAGCCAACTGCTTTACTTGCAGCCTTTACCATCTCAGTTGATGGTGTCTCCATTTTTCCAGCAGCTCTGGCCGACAAACTTGAAGTCATCCCTGCCCACCTCTCTTCTTTTCACACCCTACATCCATTTCATTAGCAAGTCTTCTTCACTCTGTGGTCAAAAACATAGAGCCTTGACCACTTTTTATCACAACCACTGTTACCGCCACGGACCAAAACTCCGCCATCTTTCATCTGGAATATTATTAAAAGACTCTTACTGGTCTCTCTGCTTCTATTTCTTTGCCTTTTAGCAGTCTTGTACTTGTTTGTTTCTAGTCAACCATGATACATTGGGTAATAAGAACTGAAGTAAATGGGCGTTAGTATGAGGTTTTATGTTAATTCTGCAAAGAGTTAGATTGTATTTAATGTTTGCTATATAGCCATGAGTTTCAGAGATGTCAATTTCTGCTGGTTATCTCGGTTTTTGTCTTCCCTGTTGTCTTTGGGCTTTCCTAAGGATTCAGATAGAATTTATTTTGCTTCTCTTTCAGCTGTAATCCACTATTATAAGATGTGGGGAAGGGAAAATGTTCTATTAATTTATGACTAAATCTTAGCCTCTCTGGGCTATGATCTTCACAAATGTTTCTTAGCTTTCCTTGTGTCCCAGGTGGCTAGAAGGGGCTGGAGTGAGAGGAATATGCTTCCCCAAGGCTCTGGGACAAGGCCTTGGGAAGGTCTTTGCTTTAGAGAGTCAGTAGGCCTTTGCTATGGAGAATGCTCTGGGTATGTTTCCTAAGGCTTATTCTTTCCTCTCCTGCCTGCCAGGGCCAGAGGAGCATCTTTCTTGGCTCTTCCCAGTGAGAAGCTGCTGGGGTCCCTGAAGGGAAAACGCACAATAGTAGGGGGGGGTGCCCTAAGACATCCACACTCAAAAGTCTCTCACTCTCAAGCTAGTCCATGCTAGGCCTCCAGCAACTTGTCAAAATTACCAGTTAATTGCTTCTAATAGTTTCTGTCTCTGGCATCTTCTGCTTCAGGTAAGCTTACCTCTGCTGCGACTCTGGATGTGCCTGTCTCTCCAGATTTCAGGTTGGTGGTTGGCCCTGTGACCACACTTCACTGAGGCTTCCGAGACAAGTCATTGATTTTCAGTCTGTTTAGCTGTTTCGTGTTGTAAGGACGGGAGTGACAACTTCCAAGCTCTTTAATGTCTGAGCTCAAACCCTGCTTCTGTTTTTATATCCTTTGAGTCTCTGCTTAACCAGAAGCCCTAGTGACCCCTTTTGAAACAGAAGTCACAGCACAGCCTTCTACTGCCCCCAGTCTTCCTCTGTCTCTAGTTTTCTCAAGGTTGAAAGCACACAATCATGGATAAGACCCTAAATATCCATCAGCCTTTCCTTATCTAACTTGACTCCAGCCCTTCTGGCCTCTTCGACGTGCCTTCTATATGCCAGGTGAGCTCCTGCTCCAAGGCTGTTGCCCTTGTCATTGCTTGTTCCTAGAATGTGTCCTCCCAGATACACTCACTGAGGTCTCCCTCACTTCCTTTAGGTCTCTGGTCCAATACTGCAATATTAACCCTTTGCACTCACTTGCTTTTTTCTCGATTCCTTTATTCTACTTGGGATTTAACTTTTTAAATACCCCAGATTTTACAAAGTGCGGCAGTAGAATTAAAAAAAAAACTGGAGTTTCTTTTCATACAAACTTATTTATTTGGATTTTTTAATATTTCAAGTTACTGATATATTTTAATATCAGTAAAGATAATTTAATTTTAAGAGTAATTTTAATATCTATAATTTTTGCTAACCGTGTCGAGTCGCACTCGACATCTGAATGCAAAGGGTTAAGATGCTTTATGCAAAACTGACTATCCTGTTTAAAAACCCACTCCTCTGCCTTATCAGGCATTCTTTATCCTCTTTTCATGCTTTATTTTTCTCATAGTATCTCTCACTATTTGATATGCTATATTTATGTGCTTATTGTCTGAATGTATTATCAGCATACACTAGAATGTACAGTGGAAGAAGGCAGGGATTGTTGCATTTTTTTAAATGCCACATGTATAGCAATGAGGACAATGCCTGGTGGAATGAAGGCATTCAGTAATGAATACATTGAATAATAGATATTATAGTCAGTGTTTCCCCTTAAGGAGTTTCTCCTTAAGGATTGAGTGCACATGCATGAAATAAGGCAAAAGTATGAAATATTACGCTGTTGCTGTACCAGGTACTGAGGGATGTTTCATAATAAGGAGAATAGAATTGAGAGTGAAGTTTGTTTTGGAATTCCTTGACTGCTGTCTGTGACATATGCTTCCATTTTGATACATGACAAAACTCTTTCAATCCAGGTTCCTTATTTTTTTTTTTCCTATTCATAACATGCTAATAATAATTCTGGCTACAGTTACTTCCTTAGCAATTATGAGACTGGCAGTAATCTTCCTTAAGGCAGGTTTTTCTTAGTCTATTATGTTACTTGAGCCTAAGCAAAAGATTAGAAACTCTTTAAAGCCAGTCTTTCATAAGGTTTTCTGAGATTACAGATGGAGTTAGATTTTTTTTCCTTCCTTTGAAAGCCTTTCCAAATTTTGGAGTACTTCAGTCTACGATGTGCTTTAATGGAATATGATTTTAAGCCTCATGAAGCGTTATACATTA